TCTAAGAAACATAACTGAAGTTCCAGTGTATTCTATTCCAGAAAAAGGGATAGTAGTGTGTTTGAAGCTGCTGTGTCTTACTGTCACATGCAGAAATGCACTAACCAGCTACAGCTGACCCAGATTCCATATACAGTACGCTTGGACAGTTTTCCTTTTCTTAAACAAACACGCACTAGACTTAGCCGTTCAGCCCACCTCTGATGTCACTATGAACTCACTGAAGAGCAAACAAAACTCCTTAGGGTTTCCTATCATAGCCTTTATGAAAGGGCAAGGGGAGGCTGAAGAGCTATGGACAAGGAAAGATTGTTTGCTGGTTAGAGGGAGGGCACTACATGGAAACAGTCTGTGCAAGAGTTCAGCAGGCAATTACAAAACTAACATTTTATTTCACAGCCTAAAGATGCCTTTCAAGTTTTTACAGTACTGGGGTTCATTTAGAAGAAAGATTCTTTCAGACTGATGAACTCAACTTGTGTTCCCAGGAATAAAAGAGGCAGACTGACTGGGTACAACAGGAAAAATGAACCATTTATAGTCTAGAAGAATGTTGAACAGAATGTCACATTCAATTCTTGAAGTTCACTTAATAAGAAACAGTTTTAGCTGTTGTTACATTCTCAAAGAATCTGATACATGTGGAAAATGTTAAAGCTATGTTTGGTGTTGGGTTAGGTATTAGAATATTTGATGCCATCTGATTAGTATTAAAAGAAGCAGAAGCCACATGTATTACGTACTTTTAAGAAACGAAGGATACCATCGTCAGCTTTTAATTCTGTGACTTGAGAGTTTGTGTACAGGAGTCGATTCAGTTTGGGGTTTTGTTTAGTGTAGTTGTCAATTTCTTCAGAAATGACTGACTAAATTTTATGGTTTATTTGTTTTTTTCTCTTAAAATTGTTTTAGATTTGATAAATAGGTCCAAGGATCTTGTATTTTGCAGAGGAGTTGTCTAGAAAGGTACTCTTAATTGTGCTAAAGATAAAAAGGCTGTCACTTAACTTTAAGGAAGAAATAATTGTTTAGATATCTCCTTCCAGAAATAATCTGTTCACTAATCCACAAACTTATAACCAATACTACACTTTTGTTCCTTATGAATCTCTGTTGTTTGAACCAGTAAACATTATTCACCCTTCTTTCTATTTTAGATAGTATTCTGTTCAGATCAGGGACTTTTAACAACTATCTCTGGACACTGCCTAGTACAATGGGACCTAACATGGTTAAAACCTTTAGGTACCACCACAATATAAATATTAAATAATAATTTGACAGTTATTAATTTATAATTTAAATAAATTAATATTATAAGATTAGCAGAATAAAAAATCCTGAATTAAAAATTAGATGAAAATAAAATTAAACTCTATATCAGATTCTATTTAATAACTTTCTATGAACTTTTTTGTCACCTTTCAACCAGAAGGCTTTTAACTTGCTTCTGTGTGCATGCAGACTGTGTTTGTATATTAATATTGGAGCAATGCCCAGAGGCCCCACTCAGGACTGAGAGCTCCACTGTGTTAGGAGCTGTACAAACACAATCACTGCTCCAACTAAGTGTTTTTTTTTAATGTTCTTCCACCTGCAAAGCCAAACATTTTTGGGTTACTTTGACCCTAATTATACAGGTCTCAGAAAAAAAAAATAACTAATTTTAGAAGTCCCATAAGTATTACCTAAAATAGCAGGGTTTTTTGTACAAAGTATTGAATTTAAGGTTGGATATATTGAAACCTTCCAGGGCTGAAGCAAGTGCTTTGTCTCATTAGAAAACTGAGATTTTCCCCATTCCAAGGGTAATCTATGAAGTTTTTCTCACCCTGCAGGGTCATGTTATATTGGGCCTTTTAACAGTTACAGGACTGAATATTGCCTGTCCTGCACTTCAGACTGTATCTTGGGGGATGAAAGGAAATCATTTCTGTAACAGGTTGTTTTTAAGTGGTAGCAGCATCAAGCTGCTCAGAAGTTTACAGTGTTAGCATAGTCACAGTAAAGACGGATTAGCGAGCAGAATGTAGGCAAAGCGGTCACATTTTCTTATGATATGGATATCTCCTGGGGGGGATGGGTGTAAGTATGTGTGTGCATCCCTACAGTGAAATGTGCAGACCATGAGAAGCTCTTACCAGATGCTGAAACAGCAGTAGATGTAGAAGTGGTAAATAGAAGACATAAAGTTCAAACCAAGAGAAGAGATCTACGCAACCAGTGTGGTAGAAGAGCAGTTGAAACAAAAGCATTTTCTACTTCAGAATCCAAAATGAGGGAATTGGAGAGAAAGGTCTTCAAACTCATCAGAAATAAAGACTTTCATTTTTCCCATAGTTGTGCACAGTTTTGCTTACTGGTTTTTAGTGGGAAAAGGCATTAGGGATAGTTATGATACATAGCAACCTGCTGTTAAATCATGAATAAAAAATAATGGCAAAATGTCAAGGGGATAAAACCCATGCATAATCATCATGCCCTTACCCTAGACAGATGTTTGATATTACATCTATCCCTGATAGAGGAAAAACTCAAGGTTCTACCTTTTCAGCACTTTTGAATTCTTGTGTAACAAATAAGCTATTAGTGAAATGAATTTAAAAATTGTGTGGCTATATTGGGGCATGTATATATTTAGAATGAAATTCACCCATCCCCACACAAAGCATGACACTTTGCATTGATAACTCAGCCAGCCTTGTGATGGAGATGAAATTCAGTAGCCTTTTTTCCACTCCTTACAGTCCATTCTTCACCCACCTTATTTGTAGATAGTGAGGGCCCCTCTACCAACATGCAAGGGAATTAAAGGAAATGTGATGCAAGTGTCATGTTGGTGAGAGGGAATAGTGTTGCATTTGTTGCAGCAATAAATGGTCAGGGCTGGGACAAGGCTTTGAAAGTGGAAATGGAGAGGAATACATGGACTTTGATGTCTTCTTTTACTGCTTTTCCCCCCTCCTTCTTCACACACGTTAATGCTGCTGTTAAATCCTGCTTGCTTTTAACTTCAAAGTTTTGAGCCTTTGGGACAGAGAATAATGAAGTTGCCAGTGGTGAAGGAAGAAGATGGAAGCTTTAAAGATGAGATTTGGAATTAAGACACTAAACACTCATAATCATTAAAGATCCTGTAGAGCTTTTACAAAGTGTGGGGGAGAGGCAGGGGTCCTGGAACAGTTTGTATAGTGAGGGTGCTGAAAGCCATTGAAGCAAACTGTAAACCCTGTATATGATGGAAACCACTTCAAGCCCGGGGATGTGGCAGCCCACCCCTCCTTCCCATCAGCCCTAGTTCCATCACCTATGGGGGGAGGGTGTTAATCCAAGTGTCCTAATCAGTTTTCAATTTGTGTATACTCTTTGTCTAGCAAACGCTTTCCCGTTGCTGCAATTTGAGAAGCTTTTCTTTTCTTTTTTGCTGGCATAGAAAGGGAGATTTTTCTGTTGGTGTGTTTCAACACAGCTGAGTTGGGGGAATTAAATATTCGTAGATTCTAAGGCCAGAAGCTAATCATCCAGTCTGATAACTGTATATAACAGGCATAGAACTGCCTCCAAATAATTCCTGGTTGAACTAGATTATATCTTTTAGAAAAACATCCAGTCTTGGTTTCATAAATGCTGGTGATGAAGAATCACCACATTGGAAAAGTGTTCCAATGGTTAGTTAATCTCCCCTGATAAAAACTTACATCTTATTAGATTTTATCACATTGAAAACGTTTAACAAAGTTCATGTTTTTGAACCTTCTGTGTTGAATACCCCTACAGGCTTGTCAAGTGAATGATGATTAATTGTTGGGATGACAAAAGCTTAGAAATGAGACCTGGCATAGTTGCACATAGTTTGATACTTACTTTGCAGATTCTGAAATGTTAATATGCTTCCACTGTCAAAGACTAAAGGTCAGATTGTGCCTGGTCCCTGTATAATACACAAGGAAAGCTTCCAACCTTCCATTGTGCCTGGCCCCTGTGTAGAGAACAGAGGTGAAAGTAAGCTGGTATGGCGTACCAGACCGAACCAGCTTCCCCAGGCTGGTGCTTTAAAGGGCCTGGGGCTCCTGCCGCTGCGGGGAGCCCTTTAAAGCGCCGCCCGAGCCCTACCGCTGCTACCCCAGGGCTCGTGCCGCTTCGGGGAGTCCCAGCCCTTTAAAGTGCCGCCCGAGCCCTGCCGCCTACCCAGGGGCTCAGGCAGCAGGGCTCGGACAGTGCTTTAAAGGGCCCGGGGCTCCTGTCACTGCGGGGAGCCCCGGGCCCTTTAAAGCACCGCCTGAGCCCGGCTGCCAGAGCCCCAGGGGAGGGGTAGCGGTGGCAGGGCTCCGGCGGTGCTTTAAAGGTCTCCCCATAGCGGCAGGAGCCCCGGGCCCTTTAAATCGCCCCTTAGCTCCGGGGTTTCCAGCTGCCTCTGTAGCTGGTAGCTTGTGGGGTTATTTAAAGGCCCTGGGGCTCCCAGCCGGAGCCCCGGGGCCTTTAAATCTTGATTTAAAGGCCACACCTCTTCCAGTTGAGGCCACACCTCTTCCAGTTGAGTCCAGGCCCCCACTCAGGACTCTGGCGTACTGGTAAGTCCTTTAAGTTACTTTCACCCCTGGGAGAGAATGCAAGTCCTTACACTCGGAAAGCGCAAAGATTTCACTGAGCTAGTACTGCTGCTGGAGCTGTTCACTGCAAATAGGGCTGAGAAAGGAGTGAGGCAAAACCACTGGACAAGTGATGAAGGGGAGTATTTATTGAATCCCCAAGGGGTGGCACAACATTTCCAAGCAATATTATTTGTGCCTCCTTGAGGCACAAACCAGCAAAGAGCTCTTGCAGGCACAGGGCTTTTTCTCCATTGCTCCTGGAGCAAGACAAAGATTAAATGTCACAGTGGATCCTTGTACACATTAGTAAGTGTGAGCAGAAGTACATTCAAATTCAATTAATTGCTTTTTCTTTTAAATTTGAAACATTTAATAAAGGAAATATTCACTCTAATCTTATTCATTCAGGTATTTATCTCTCGGACTTGACGTATATTGACTCCGCATACCCATCTACAGGGAGCATTCTGGAAAGCGAGCAGAGATCAAATTTAATGAACAACATACTTAGAATAATCTCAGATTTTCAGCAGTCCTGTGAATATGGTAATCTAGCTCATTTATTTCTTTTGCAGTATTATTGAGGGCAACTAATTAATAAAATAAAAATGTTCATCTTCAACCAAGCTGTTATTTAATAAGTCTTAACCAATTAATGTACCATTCCCATCTTAAAACCATAAACCTTATTAAAACCAAATTCTGGAATTGTTGGGTTATCTCTCCTGTCAGCAGGCAGAGATAGAATGAGACTTACTTATCCTCTATTTATCTCTTCTGTATTTTCAAAATACATGCTGTGAAGATCTGGCCTTCCTTGGGTGCAGGGGAGGTCAGCCAAGGCATGGTTATGGATGAGGGGGAACAAAAAACTGCAAAACAGTGGTGAGGGATCATTGTATTTTATGGCCCCAACTAAAGACAGCAAGAGAAATATCTGCTTGTATGCAGATGTTTTCAAGAAACTCCCTTTGTCTAATGATGAATGACATAGTGATAACTGATATATTGCCTCTTCTCTAGATATTCCTCTGTTGCCTCATGTCCAAAAATACTTGAACTCAGTTCAATACATAGAAGAGCTACAAAAGTTTGTGGAAGATGACAATTACAAGTAAGTATAAAATTCTACAACTGACTAGGTAACCTTTTCTTTTCCCTTCTAAAAAAGTGAGTTTTATGTAACAGAAACCTTGAATACAATAATGAGCAGGCAAGAGACCCTGCTTTCATTTAGGTAAATGAATCCAACCTCAACGCTGCCACTCTCTTAAGTCTCTCTTTCTTTACTATAAGGAGACTGAGAAGAAATTGGAGTTAGAAAATAAGCAACAGTAGTCGTGACTTAAATTTTTCCTTTAAACGTTTTATTTTATGTTATTGTTTGAGGGATAGATATTTAAGAAAATTAAACATTAAAGTTGGAAAAAATCCAGTATAGTATCTTTACTCTGCTGTAAAACTGCAAAATGCTGTTGAAGGCAGAAAGTAAACAAACTGATCAGAGCAGAGTTTTTTTTTTTTCATTACTCTATTTCAGTAATTTTAGGTGTTGTAACAATAGAAAGAATTAAAAATGCAGAGTGGAATTTTTTTTATTTGGAAAACCCTTTAAGCATAATAGAAGGGATACAGAAGTAGACAATGAAAATAACAGGCATGGAGAGACTTGTATATGAGGAGAGAGTGGAAAGATGGAACTGTTTGGAGAGGAGATATAAGGTAATAAAGATATACAAAGTAATGAATGGTATAGCGAAGGTAAACTAGGCACTCCTCTTTATACTTTTTCATATAAGAACTAAGGGGTATCCGATAGAATGGAAAGAAATACATTTACATTTGATAAAAGGAAATTAAATTTTATACAACACTTAATTAACCTGTGTAACTCATTTGCCACAAAATATAATTGATTCCAAGATCTTAGCAGAATTCCAAAAAGAACTACATGTATCTAAGTAACTATAGAACATCCATAGGTTTATGGGAGAGATTAAAAATTATAAGGGATATAAATCCTCATGCTTCAGGGCATAAGCCAATCATTGGTGATAGCTAGAAAGAAAATTCCATGGAATTCTAAGGAAGCTATTCTATAATTGTTCATTAGAGATTCTTGCACCTTCTTGTGAACCATCTGGTGCTGACCACAGTCAGAGATTAGATATTGGACTAGAAGATATAGTGAATTGGTCCAAAGTAGCGATTCCTATCTTCATTTTATCGACTAGGCGAAGTCAATGGAGTCATGTGGTTTAACTGAATGAGGAATATGATTTTAGCAGTGCATATGCCTTTGTATACTGAGAAAATTGTGGAGATAATAAGTTTAGTCTCTTCAAGGTGAAAGGAGATGGCCATTACTACTTTGAGAAAACCAATTGATACTTAAATCTTGTAGCATTTTCTTTCTCTTCAAACGAAAACTACCCCTTTTCTCTGACAGGTGAAGGGTCAGAAAGGTAACTATCCACAATTAAGATAGTTACTTAAAATTAAGTCTCAGAAGAAAAAGTACTTAAACAGTTTCCATTTTCGTGAAGCTGTATTGAACTGGTAATTTTAAAATGTTAACAATATTGTATAAATTATTCCTGTGGCTAACAAACCTTTAAACTTTTATTTTCTAAAAAGTTCTTCCTAACTTCGTTAATTTAAAAATGGTCAGTTCATCAAAATGTTCAGCAAAAAGCAGTTTGCAGCTTTCCAATAGTATTGAAGACATCATGGAAAAGTAAACAGCTTGAATTATTAACCCAGTCAATATGATTATATATTGTATCAAAAATCTACAGAAGGATATTTCATTTGTTTTTAAAATAGTAGAGCACATTTCACTGGTGATGTTTACCCCTTCACATAACATATGAACAAGGGGTCATCCAGTGAAATTAATAGGTAGCAGTTTAAAACAAACACGTGGAAGTACTTCTTCCCACAACACTCAGTTGACCCGTGAAACTCATTGCCAAGGGATGTTGTGAGGGCCAAAAGTATATCTGATTCAAAAAAAGAATTAGATAAGTTCATGGAAGATAGGTCCCTCAATGGCTATTAGCCAAGATGGTCAGGGATGCAACTCCATGCCTTGAGTGTGTCTACACCTCTGACTACTAGAAGCTGGAACTGGAAGATGGGGTGGATCACTTGATAAATTTGTTGTCTTCTGTTCACTCCGTCTGAAGCATCTGGCACTGGCCACTGTCTGAAGACAGGGTACTTGGCTAGACGGATCATTGATCTGACCCAGTGTGGCCATTCTTATGTTCTTATTGGTTAAAACTTATAGGGCAGGGGTTCTCAAACTGGGGGTCGCAACCCCTCAGGGGGTCGTGAGGTTATTACATGGGGAATTGCAAGCTGTCATCCTCCATCCCAAACCCCACTTTGCCTCCAGCATTTAAAATGGTGTTAAATATATAAAAAAATGTTTTTAATTTATAAGTGGGGGGTCGCACTCAGAGACATGCTATGTGAAAGGGGTCACCAGTAAAAAAAGTTTGAGAGCCACTGTTACAGGGGGTTTCAGAACAAATTAAAACAGAGGATTACAAATGGTTTTGCCTATTGTGACTCCTGCACATGCCTTTTTCTTTTCATCACTGCTGTAGAAAGCAGAACATCAAGTACAATAAATATAAACTTGGATTAAGTAAAAGAAAAAAGGGGGTTGGTTGTTGCCCCCTTTTAATTGCTAGTGAGTGATATGCATATCTGAAATTGCTCATGTGCATAGCCTCTCTTACACTTGTGATAGCAAAACTTCTTGCAGCATAAACCAACAAATACTGTAGCTTTCAAAGCTTTACATTAAAACACTTCAGGTTCCTGATAAATTAACACTTTAACTTCTATTCCTTTTTTAATGCAGGCTTTCATTAAAGATAGAGCCAGGAACCAGCACCCCTCGTTCTGCTGCTTCCAGAGAAGATTTAGTAGGTAAATGCTTACTTACCAGAAGACATCAAAATTTGAAATCCATTCTTCACTGCCTTTGAGTTACTAGTACAAAAAATTTTCCTAAAAGTGAAGTGCGATAAAAGATTTACAAAACGTATTTGTCATAAAAATTCTAAATTTGTTCTGTAAGTAGACTCTTGTTGTCATAGGAAACTGAGTCAGTTCCTTGGTTTAAATATGAAATTTAACTTTAAATTTAAATATTCATTGTCTGCCATGTCACACTAAATAACTTAATATTTGCTGTTTTCCCTCTTAAATACCTTTTCTTTCTTGGAACAATTACCTGTCAAAGGTGTATATCTTGTTTAATCTGCAGCATACAAGATGTACATTTAAAAATGTTTTATGGTGGGATTTTCAAGAGTCTATGGGACTTAGGAGCACAAGTTCAAATATTTTCAATGGGACTTGTGCTCCTAATTCACTTGGGTGCTTTTGAAAATCTACTATGTCTACACTACGAAATTACTCCGATTTTACAGAAGTCGATTTTTCGGAACAGATTGTATAAAGTAGAGTGCACGCATCCACACTAAGCACATTAATTCGGCGGTGTGCGTCCATAGAACCGTGGCAAGCGTTGACTTTTGGAGCGGTGCACTGTGGTAGCTATCCCACAGTTCTCGCAGTCCCCGCTGCCCATTGGAATTCTGGGTTGAGCTCCCAATGCCTGATGGGGCCAAAAATTTGTCGCAGGTGCCTATGGGTAAATGTCGTCAGTCAACCCCCCCTCCGTGAAAGCAACGGCAGACAATCATGTTCCACCCTTTTCCCTGGATTGCCCAAGCAGACGCCATAGCACGGCAAGCATGGAGCCCGTTCAGCCTTTTTTCACTGTCATCGTATGTCTACTAGATGCTGCTGACAGACGCGGTGCTACAGTGCTACACAGCAGCAGCTGCAGCTCCTTTCCTTTGCAAGTTAGCAAAGACGGTTACCAGTCATACTGTACCATCTGCTGCTGTCATGGGTGCTCCTGGCCGGCCTCCATGAGGTGGGTTGGGGGCGCCTAGACAAAAATGGGAATGACCCCCAGGTCATTTTCTTCTTTGTTTTGTCTAATAGAGATTCAGTGCTGCCTAGAATATCAGGCAAGCCTACTAAAGAACCACAGATGCAAGCAGCCGCTCCAGGTCAGAGCCCCAGACATCCCGCAGAAATGATGAGCTGCATGCCATTCTAGGGGGTGCCCGTACAACAACCTCACCCATTGCTTCCCTCCTCCCCCACCCCTCCCGGGCTACATTGGCAGTTATCCCCCCATTTGTGTGATGAAGTAATAAAGAATGCATGAATTTGAAACAACACTGACTTTATTGCCTCTGCAAGCAGAGATCAAAGGGGGCAGGGGAGGGCGGTTGGCTTACAGGGAAGTAGAGTGAACCACCATTCTGCACTTGCTCAGCCTATAGTCTGTCCATCATGGCCTTGGAGATTTATCCGAGTTCAGATTGCTGTCCCGAGTGGTCACAGTGGTGCACTGTGGGATAGCTCCCGGAGGCCAATACAATCAAATTGCGTCCACACTAACCCTTATTCGAACTGGCAATGTTGATTTCAGCGCTACTGCCCTCATCGGGGAAGAGTACAGAAATCAATTTTAAGAGCCCTTTATGTCTACAAAAATGGCTTTGTTGTGTGGACAGGTGCAGGGTTAATTCGATTTAATGCTGCTAAATTTGACCTAAATTCGTAGTGTAGACCAAGCCTTAGACTGAAAGTACAATTATTTCTTTAAAATAAACATTTTTAATATATTAAGGAACTGCTCCTAATATATTATAAAAGAAATGCTATTAAAGAAGACATCTGGTTAACTAGCAAAAGATTCAGCCTATGTAAGGAACTGGTGTAACCACAGGTCAGGGCCTGTGAGCCAATTTACCCTCTGAAATAGTGCACATTTAGTTTAGAAATAAACTTTTTCAACATTACACATTTTTACAGGAAAACAATTATTAAAATTTAGCTTCAGGGTATGCAGTAAGAGAAAATGCTATGGTACATAGAATCTTAGAATCATAGGAATGTAGGGCAAGAAGGGACCTTGAGAAATCATCTAATCCAGTCTCCTTCACTGAAGCAGGACCAAGTATACCTATACTGTCTCTGACAGGTGTTTATCTAACCTGTTTTTAAAGATCTCCAATGACAGCTATTCCACAACCTCCCTTAGTAGCCTGTTCCAGTGCTTAGCTATCCTTATACAGTAGAACCTCAGAGTTACAAACACTTCGGGAATGGAGGTTGTTCGTAATTCTGAAATGTTCGTAACTGAACAAAACGTTATGGTTGTTCTTTCAAAAGTTTTCAACTGAACAACAACTTAATACAGCTTTGAAACTTTACTATGCAAAAGAAAAATGCTGCTTTCCCTTGATTTTTTTTTTGTCATTTACATTTAACACAGTACTGTACTGCATTTGCTTTTTTTTTTTTTTTTTTTTTTTTACTTTTACCCCGGGCTGTTTTGTGTTTTCTTTTTTTTTTTTTTTTTTTGGTCTTGGTCTTTTCTGCTGCCTGATTGCATACTTCCAGTTCCAAATGAGATGTGTGGTTGACTGATGTGTTCGA